ACTCAAAAGCCATCCCAACTGCTCAAAAGAAGGACTCAGTTAGTCTGTCCCTGCTGAAGCCCAACTTTGAGGCTAGTCCCATATTCTTCCACCACCTACATTTTACATTTATGAAACAATGAAATTGAACCAAAATTATTATGAAATGGGTGTAAAATAATAAAAGATAAGTCAGGATCGATTGACATTAGGTGTAACTTTAAATGTTTTACATTAAATCTCAGTAATTAATATGAATAAATTAAACAGTCATATTAAATAAAAAAATATGGCCATTTTATTTTAATAAAAAATAAATTAATTATATAACCTTTTGATTTATTCCTATTAAGAGTTAAAATTTGATATAATACATTTAAATTTAAAGTTGATATATCCGTATCCGGAATCATATACAAATATGATTGTTATTTTTATTTACTTACCTTGACATTTCTATAAGATTCTCTTGTAGATTTGATTGAACAATGTTGAAATCCAATTTAGCAGCTTCAAGCAATACCTTATTTGCATCCTTTCTTTTTTCATATAACTCAATATACCATCTAGCTTCAAGTCTTTGAAATCTACGATGCAGTGGAAGCTCCAATGAATGATTCACTTGTTCAAAGAGAAAATTGCTTATATCATCGTAAAGTCCTTGTTTGAAGTGGAATTTCGTGAAGGAATTTGCTTCATCTAAATTTTGTTCTCCTTCATAAGACAAAAATGATGCCTCGTAGAGACTCAACATTCCTTTAATATCTTTGACAAGACATGTCTTAAAATTTCCACTTTGGTCCTTAAACCTCTCAAATATATCTATATATTAAATGTAGAAATTTCAAATGTTAACTTAACGAAAATGGAATGACATTTTTTTTTTTAGATTTCACTATTTTTAATTAAAAAAATAAATTAAATTTAGAAAATATAAATATGATAAAAATATTAATAATACATGTATATGCACCTGGAGAGATATCATATCCATATTCTCTGAGGAGTTTGAATTTTAAAGCAGTTTCATGAAGATTAATTTGTTCTCCTTCCAAAGACAATAGAAATCTATCAAGTGCTTCTCTTATCTCCTTTTCAAAGTGGTAGCTGAGGCCTAAGTGTTTCACATTTTCTATTAACTCTAAGATTTCTTCATTTTCATCGTTAATCATTCTTCTTACTTCCTCTTGCAACCTTCTGCCCCTATTCACGTAGTGCACATCCTAAAAAAAATACAAAGTATTTAATATTGTTTAGTCATTAAAAAATAAAAATAATTTAGCAAGAAAAGTTTAGATTAAGAAAACTATATTATTACCACATAATCATTTTTTAAGGATAGTAAACTATCGTAATCCCAAATATTGGGTTGGTAATTGGCTGATTTTCTATGAGGAATATTTGAACTAGTAGTATAACATGGAAGGAGAGAACCATTTAAACTAGGAAATTTAGTTATGGGTAGTTGTTGAGGTTTGAAGAAACTAGGAAGTGAAACAAAGGATGAATTTAGCAACATTGTATGAATTATGGCGGCTAATAGTAAGTTGGAGTTGGGCTTTTGTATTATTTTATATTGGGGGAGTGCTTACATTTATATAGGAATACCTATGTGTGATAGGTTTTAACTTGCCACTCCAAATTTATATAGGAATACCTAACATTCTTATTTTTGTTTAATTTTCTAATTGTTCATAAATAAATTTCTGGATGGAAAGAAATTTCTAATAAATTATTTAAAATTTCTGAGAACATATTAAATTTATGGTATAAATTTTAAAAAATAAAATAATTTTTTTAATACTATCTGAAGTTTCGAAAAATATTCTAGTTTTGAAAAATGTTGTAATTTATCAAAAATTTAGAAATTTATGATATTCTAAAAAAACTAAATCTTTCGAATATAAACAATAGGATTTTTCGAAAATTTTTTTTAAAAATTTTAATTTTTTTTTTAAATTTCGGGTAAACACGAAAATAAATTTCAAACATTTTTTGTAAAGACATAAAAGTAATAGTAGTTGATCTTTATTGTAACACTCGGGGGGGTGAACGCTTGTTACTTTATTGTTGTTATTACTCCAGCTGTTGAATTTTAAATTGATTTCGTTAAGTACTTAGTTGTTTCTAAAGTTGTTTTCAGTTGGACAAAGATGTTATGTCCTTTCAAGTTGAATATTATGAATCCGCTGCATAGTTATGAATGTTATTGGTTTTCAAAAGATTAAATTGTGTTTTTGTTGGTTCATTCCAGTTTAATGTGTTATGTATCTGTAATCAATATCGTTGTGTTAATATGAATGTGTAGCATTCCTTGTTTGTTGGAAATTTTTTACCTCTGATTTTATATAATTTGTTGGGTAGAAATGGGGTGTTACATCATTCATCCCCCCGGTGTTACGTATCAGAGCAATGACACTCACTCAATAAGAGAAAGCAACCTCTCATAGACTCCGCGACTTTGCATTACTCCTAGATATCTAACGTTACCCACGTGGAGACAACATTGAAACAGTAAGGGTGAGATATCATGACAATATAATAAGTCATATAATCATGAGTAAACAACATGTATATCATTCAAGATTTCAAGTTCCACAATCATCAATTATAGTTCATAACGATTACATGAATACATACTTAATTATCATCACCCATCATACGATATAAATCAAACATACAACTTAACTTCATTATCATCATCCATCATACAATGTAAATCGAACATACAACTAAACTTCATTGAATATCAACAATTCAACAAATGCAATGCGACTGACACTGATGCAAGATGTATGTGATACCATCAGGGCATAATCCCTCAACGAATTGCCATATAGGCCAGGGCATAAGCCCTCAACATTTGCCATAAAGGTCAGGGCATAAGCCATCAACGATGTATGAAATTCTACATGCTACAACCATAAAAATGCAATTCCAAGCATACCATCACCATAAAGCAAATTTTAAGGCCAACATCACCTTCTTAGCACTACAACATCCCTTGTAATTTCTTTGCACATCATGGATACGCCAAACACAACTTATTCACGACACTACTCATCCAATATACACATTTATCATAATTGTTTCGATAAATTATTAGACCACTATTATAAACGTTAATTTCATATTATAGAAAATGTTTTTAGCTTCTATATGCTTCAAACGGTATGTCAAATGGACACCTGAGTCGAAAGTTATGATTTTTAAAAGTTTTCAAAAAATGCTGTCAGTAACAGTGGTAACTAGTTACCCAGTTATGGTAACTGGTTACCGCAAGACAGTAACCTTTTTTCCTTTCAAAATTCCTCGCGGTAACTGGTCATCCACTTATGGTAACCGGTTACTGCAAGTTAGTAGCCAATTGTTTAAAAACACAAACAGCGGTAACCGGTTACCCATATATGGTAACCGATTATCTATCACGAACAGACCCAAAAACCTGAATTTTCTGCTACGAAATCCCATCCTCTTCATCCAAAAACCACTTTTTATGAAAGATTAAATACATCAATTATTTTAAATCATCAATACACATCATATACCACAATTCCAACACAATCAACACATCAATCTCATCATTTACAAGCAATTACAACAATCAATTTCATAACAATGTACCCCAAAACCTAACATTCAATATCATCATATACCCAAAATTAAACCACCTATTAGAGAGTCACAACCTCGTCCTTACCTTAGATTGATGATGATTCTTGATTCCTACGGATGGATCTTCTTGCCTTAGCTTCCTATTGCTCTTCTCCTCTTCTCACTTCTACGTTTCTCTTCTGATTTTCACGTTCTTACTATATTCTCTCTATTCTCACCTCTTATAATCCAATAATAATATCATTATCCCAATTTAATTATTATTTAATTATTATTATAAAATAATAATAATAATCCTAATATTATAATAATAATAATAGTAATAATTCATATTACACTACACACCCCATGTCTCTACACATTTAACCATATACCCCTATAACATAAACTCTCATTATTCTAATGCATCTAGTCCTTAACAAATGCATCGTACCACATCATAAAATCCACCAATTCATGTAAATACACCACATCACCTTATTATTTAATTAAAAACAATTTTAATTAAATCGGAGTGTTACAACAGGCGCGTTAAATTCCTTCTCATCATTGAAATGTTTTACTACACTTCCCTATAAATTTTTTACATAAGGATTCATTATAAGGACTAAATGTTGTACATATGGTTTAATTTTATGGACTTTTGTTCAGTATTATCCCTTTTGAGGAATATTTGCATCTCTACGATGTTGGTAATCAATTTCCCACTTTTTTGGCTTGTTCCATACGAGGCTTATATTAGATAGGTTCAGAGGTCGGTGATTCAATTCTCAAGAAGCTTTAAATAAGTTAAATTCACTCAAAAATTTGAAATGATTTTTTTTTTAATTTGGTAAATCTTGCTCAAAAGTTGATTTTAATTTGGTAACGGGGTATATAATGCTTTTTCCCATAAATTGTTTCTTATAATTGACTCATTACTTTATCTTATTGCCCTTAAATTGGGATGTCATATTTTCTAAGAAGCGAAAATCATTTTCCTTGTTTTAAGTTTTCTAACACTTTTTTTCAAATTCTGAAAACCATAACCAAGAGAAATTTTCAAAATTGTTATTGCATCAATCAAAACTAACATCATATAATGCTTAGAGACTGAATTGATTTAGCGGGTAATGATCTTATGTTATGATTTTGATTTAATGAATCAACACACATATCATTGACATTTTTCTTATACATCATAACAACATTATGCATGTCATTTTTTTTAGTGGTGCATAAAATTCATGCTAAAAATCACAAATAATAATAAATTACATTTCATTAAAAATCAGATAGTATCATAAATTTTATAACAAATCAAAGATAAATTTACACCAAATCTCCTAGGAGAACACTAGTGTACAACATTATTTTTATTTACTTTTAAATTTTTTATAATGGTCTTCTCCTCACATTATTCATCATCATGCATGGTTTTCAATGAGGGAAATGGGTTCAATTATCAAAGAGCGTACTCGATTCTTTGTTATGGAATCTGGAACTCCATACCCATCTCCATTTTGATAAACATAGTGAGCGGTTTTAGCAAGGTTTATTGTTGTTTTAGTAAAAGTTTTAGGGAAAGGTGAATCAACAACTCTATCTCTGTTCAATTTTTTGCAAGTTTCATTGAGCAAACCCTGAGTGTATTCATAAGCAACCTCCTCACTAATACCATTTTCATTCATGTAGCACATGATTGAATTCACTTTTTCACCTCTTTGCAATTCCGCCTACAAAATAGAAAAATAGTACCAAATACCATATTATAATATGATATTGTCTCAGTTTTATAAAGTTTCACCAATACCATTTTTATACTCGTCTAAGAACTCTAGAGAAATGAGATATTCTAAACTAAGGGAAAAAGGGAGGGAAACTAGTATGTAATTAAATAAATTTATCTACATTCTTTTCATACTCTTCAAAAATCCATATCCATCTACCTATCGTTCTTAGGATTCTAAGAAAATTCTTAAAAAATTAAAAATTTAAACTTACGACTAACATATCAAAAATAATAAACCTATCTTAATATATTTATTTAGATAATGATATCATCAACTAATATATTTTTCGATGTCACCTCACCTTTACTACGGTCATTCGATTCCCCGCGCCTTGCCTCTTTTGACATTGTTTATGAGTAATACTTATAAATAGCCCTTTACAAATGTAGATATGTTGGTAATGAAGAAATCACCAAATTCCGTTGACGAAAGAAGGCCTTAGCGAGATATAAAGTTGCACTTGTGGTCGCATATAATCGTATTGTGCTGATGGTCTATTCATTTGCATCAATGCGCATTACATTTGTTGCAGCGTGAATACTAAATGGGCATTTGAAGATGGATTGTTCAAACAGAAAGCATAATTCATCCAATTCTGCCATTTTGGTTCAAACATATGCTTATAGTAGTAAAGCAAATATGTTGTTTCATTCGAAAAGTGTAAAATGCGTGGATTCTTGACTTTAGTCGTTCTTACCACTTAACACCGCGCCGATATTGGTTTACTACATTCAAGTCAAATAATTTTGGATATGTTTATTTGGGTGATGATAAAGCATGTATTATCACTAGAATTGAACAAATTAAATTTATCTTGGACAATGGTGGCGTGCGAACATTGAACAATGTCAGATATATTCCAAAATAGAGAAAGAACTTGATTTTCTTAAATACTCTACATGAAAATGGTTTCTCCTACAGGTCTGATGGTGATAAATACATTTTGACTATTAACAAGGATGACATGACTATGATGAGAGCAATGAGGATTGCATGTAACATCTACAAATTATTGGGGAATACTATTATAGGTGTTGTTGAAACGATTAAGTTTTATAATGATGAAACCAAACTTTGGCATGAGTCTGGGAGATCTCAGTTAGTATGGGGGTGATGGAAATTTATAATATATATCTATTGAAGGGTGTTTGAAGTTTCAAGATGGGTTTGTGCGAGTATTGTGTACTTTGGAAATAGAATGAAATAGAGGGAAATTTAGAATATGTGTATTTTGATGTACCAGGGCCTACAAAAGAGGTTTTCATGGGTGGTTCTATGTATTTTCTAAATTTCATAGTTGATTTTTTTGCAAGGTTTGGGTGTTTTTCTTGAAGAAGAAATCAGATGTCTTTATCAAATTCAAGTTGTGAAAGACATATGTAGAGAATCAAACAAGCATAAAAATCAAGTACTTACAGTCTGATAATGGGACAAAGTATCAATTCAAATTTCACGAGGTTTTGTGAAGGACGTGGTGTTCAAAAGAATTTTCAATTTGTAAGACACCCAATAAAATGGTGTTGTAAAGATAATGAATATGTATCTAACTGAAAGGGAAATATGTGTCTTGTTAAATGTTGGACCATAAAAAGTTTTATAGGAAGAGGTAGTTATAATGGGGTGATATCTTATCAAGTGGTTATCATGGGCTTCATTGGAGGAAAATATTGTAAAATAGGTATAGCCAAGTAATCCTATTAATCTTGACTATTTAAATATTTTTTAGTGTGTGATTTATATGCATATATCCAATGATGATAGATTCAATGATTCCAAGTAAAAGAAGCGTGTCTTCATTAGTTACACAAAAAAAGTGAATGGGGTTTAAGTTATGAGATTTGATTAAAAAATATGGTAATCAATATAGATGTTATTTTTTATGAACAATTAATGTTGAAGAAGTCAATGGCAAGAGATGTGTCAACATCTGAAGATGAGACTTCCAACAAATAGGTGATTCATGTAAATGTTGATTTGGCATATTGAATAATATAATGGTAGTGCCTGAACCACAAGAGAAACCAAACTCTAATATTGAAATTGACCATGGACCTGAAGTTTCAAGAAAATAATAAAAATATTTGTGTACATGATAGAGAGCATTGTTCAACCAAACTACTAAGAAGATAGGGTATACAGACATGTAGTTTATGCACTTCTTACTATTTCTAGAGACCCGTCCACCTTTTAAGAGGTTAAAGCGAATCATAAGAAAGATAAATAGATGGGTGAACAGTGGAGAATATGGAGTCTTTCAAGAAAAATCCAACATGGGAGCTTGCTCGCCTTCCTAAAGGGAAAAGGGCCATAGGTTGTAATATGATGTTCAAGATAAAGGGGCACTCATAATAGAAAGGATTGATGATAATACGACTTTATCTCCATTCGTCACACATACTTCTATAAGGAGTGATGTTAGTCTTGATAGACATACAGGGCATGCATTTATAGCAGATTGATGCGAAGACAAAATGTCTTCATAATATTCTAGATGAGAAAATTTACATGGAGAGGATAGACGTATTCAGTACACTAGACATGGCAACATAGCTTGTAAATTGAATAGGTATTTGTATAATTTAAATTAGTCTCCAAGGCAATGATACAAGCAATTTGATTCATACATTCTTCAGATTGACTATAGAAAGTGTGAGTACGGATGTTGTTTTTACGTTAGGAGCATTAACCAATGTTGTTTTATTTTATTGTTATTGTATATTAGTGATATGTTGATTGCTTCTAGTCATTTACATGAAGTAAATGAAATAAATTCATGTTGTAAAATAATTTGGACATGAAAGACTTAGGTGAAACTAACAAGATTCTGAGTATGGAAATTAACAGGGAAATGAATTCTAGAAAGTTAAAGTTCCCTGAGAAAAGTTGTTCCAAAAAAGTATTAGATAAGTTTGACAAGAGTAATTTGAGGGTTATGGGTACTTCACTAGCAAATCACTTTGAGCTTTCATGGAACCAGTATCCAAAGACAGAAGCATAAGTTAGGTATATGTCTAAGGTTCCTTATGTTAGTGTTATTGAGTGTTTAATTTATACTTTAATTTGCACTAGATAAAATTTGGAATAAGTTGTAAGTTAAGTTTGTAAGTTTATGTCTTAATTAAAGAAATGGTCATTCGCAAGGATTCAAGTGATTTTTACATACTTGAAGGGTATAATGAGTCGTGCTATTATTTTTAGTAATGAACACAGCGGTACTTAGTTGCAGAATAATTTGATTTAGAGTATGCTGATGATATTGTTGCAACTGGTTTTTAAATTAGAGTCGTCACCCTTAATTTTTATCCTAAAGGAAGGGAGTATAAAGGAATAACCCTAAAATTTAGAGATTCTAGATTTGGACTCAGTTCTAGACGAGAGGAAGGTGTTAGGCACCCCTTATCTACCTTGTTCACAAGGATATTAGGTTTAGAAGCATTATTTTTAAGAAACTGGGTAATTATAGGGAAAAGGGTTTGAATTTTAGTTAGCGGGACTCGCAACGATTTTTGATCGTATGCCTACGTATCCTCCTTAGGAGGAATCATAGTCTCATTTTCGTAGTTCGCGGTGTTTGTGTTTTTTTAGGGTTGTAGAAATATATTTGAATTTCCCGCATACGTGGCCTAAGAGTGTGAATAGCGGATTTTGTTAGACCAATTGCGCAGTTGATTCAAATATATTCATATTCCTTTTTCGAAAATTAGTGTTGAATTAATTTATTACAAAAAATTATTTGATGTTTGTTTGAGTATTTTTTAGACGTAGAGCAAAGGAGTCTGATATAGCCTCCTCATCACGTGGCCATATATTTGCCACATGTCGCTCATTGGTGAATTTAGCGAGTTACACAAATTTTAATTGTTTAATTTAATATAATAAACTGGTAGATGACGTGTCAACCGATTTAATTACTCGAAGATGGATATTCTATTATTTTTAAAGATATTATTGATTTTTATTATTCTTGATTAAAAGTTATTAACTTAATCAAGAAGCTAATTGCGTTAGCTAAGCTAATTAAATAAGTTAGGAATAATAAATTAATTAGGAATTAAACTAATTGCAAAACCTAAAACAGGGTGTGAATAGAATATATAGGTGTTAATTAGTAAAAGAGCAGAGAGGGTAAATTAGAAGCCCAAGGTGGAGCGCCTCATACTGTACCTCCCTCTGAAAGTTGGTTTTCGAAAACAATTGCAATAACCAATGCTAGTGACAAGTGGTAACAATTGATTGGGATAATAATAAATTAACAAATAAATAAATGAAATAAAGAGGTAAGCAATTTATGAATGAGAAACAGAAACACCAGTACACGCCTTTTCTTTTCAATGGTCTTTCATCCTCTTCCTTACCCCATGTTTCAAATTCTGCCCAACAAATCATAACAATAACGGTTATACAAATAAAAAAGGGGAAGAACCAAGGAAACTCACGGTGTAAGTTGGTGATGACGAACGGTGGTTTTATGGATTTGCGGAGGAAGGGTTCAGCGGATCTGAGAAAGTGATTCGGCGGATCTGAGAAAGTGGCTCGACGGTTGCTTTCAGACGTTGAGTAGAGCGTTGGCTGGTTGTTCATGGTGTCGTGCAGCGAGATCGGCCGGTGTTGCAATCGCAATGTGAGGAAGGCCGAAGCTGGTTGAACGACAAGGCGGTTTGTACGCGTGAAGTCTATGGAGATAGGGTGCGGCTGGAGCTTCAGTTGTCCGCATCGTAGCTTCGAGGTGTTGTCGTCGAAGGTGATGAAGTCGTCGGCGAGAGTGGATCATAGAGAGATGGCCGATGTTGTGCGGATGACTTTGTTTTGTTCTTTTCATATTTCTGCAAAAAAGAAAATAAACCTCTGTACCAATTTGTTAGCATCAAGTATTATGTTGTGTTGTACCCTTTAATGAAATTTAGTTA